AGGACTGATATACAGTTATATTCTCTTAATGAATAGAGGGATTTGTTCTAATAGTGTTTGTAAATAGGATATCATGTCTGCATCTTGTATAGCAAATAACCACTAGGAAGAGAGCATATGCAATGTGTTAATTATTGAAACTGTCCTACCAATTTGATTTGAAACTGTCTCATTGCTATTTGTCTCTCAATAAAATTATGGGAAAAAATGTGAAAGCATGTATCTGTATTTCATAGAGAAAACAAAAGCACCTTTGACAAAGACAGAGAAAATGCATTTCATGTTCCAACACACTTAAGCAACTTCCTTAGTTATTTCTAAGACCAAATAAGAGTACATGTAACAGTACATTACCATTATTATTAATTTGGTCTGCAAATGGTCCTGCTTTTAACCTGTCCTGCTGCAAAATTTTCATCTATAAAGTTATATTTTAAAAATGCTTTTCAAAATCAACTTATTTTCTGAAAAACAACCACAGATAATTAAACATCCACATACCACCTGGATGGACACTGTAATATATAAATACTTTAAAAAAGAAAAAGACAAATCAAAAGCTCAGAAATTATCAATAAATGTTGAGTTTCCCTTAGTCAGGAGTCCAATCCAGTGTGGGAAGTTTAAGGTCAGGGTGACAACAGTTCTGGATTTGTTTCACTTCCTCATTTAACACACTGAATAAGGAAGTCTAGACAAATTTAACCTCTGTGAAATGCAGCTGCCTGATTTGTAGAATTTTGATTTTACCTTTGAAACATCAAAATAGCACTCCATCAGAAAACTGCTTTGAGTTTTTTCTTGCTTAAAGAAGTATAAGACCCAATGTTTTCTCTCTCCTGAGTAAATTGCTTTATACTGTGTGTAACACAGAAGTTACATTACACTGCCTTTACACTGGTTCTGTCTGCTATTTGCCAACCCTTTCCATTGACTATTAACAAAAGCTTGAGGGTTTTCTGTTTTTGTACCAAGGATTGAACCCAGCATCTTCACATGAACAAAAGTCTCGGTATTTTTACAATTTGGACGCAGGGTCTCATCAATTCATCTAAGATGGAGCTTTAACTTTCAATTCTTAGCCCCCAAAGTACTGGATTCATGCCTTACAGATTTTCACTTTTACTCTAAGACTTTCTAACGAAAAAAAGGATAATTTCCCTTTTAAGTATTCTTGTATGTCTGGGTCCAAATTGAAGTGCTGTAATATATATATGGATTGTTACTGTGCAGGAGAAAGGCACATGGGGATCTAGAAAGAATCCTCTTTGGACATTTTTAACTGCTGGACAGTTTGCAAGCTATCCTGTATGGCCACTAAAAAGCATTTTCAGCCTGGAAATGTGAAAGCCCATTTTTCCAAGTATAATTTCATACTAAACATTGTTTTACTTTTTTCACCCAATGTAGGACTGTATTTCACTTTAATAAATATACCCATTAGCTAGCTGTTTATAGAAATCACTGCACATGAGCAAAATCCACAACTTTTAAAAAAGTATAAGCACTTTAGGCAAATTATAAAGCATCTTACAAACTGAGAAATGTGTACTGGTTTCACTGAAAGTCAACAGCAAAATTGTTTTCTGTACTCTAACTTCCTATATTTGTGTTTCCCAACTCTGTTGCCACATTTATGCAATCTTCTTTGCCAAAGAGCCTTGTGCAAGCTAGGCAAGTGCTCCTAGCTCAGAACTACATCCTCACTCTTTTAGATAGGTGCTTTGCTGTGCTCCCAGGCCGGCCTATAATTCTTGGTCCTGGCTGCCCCCTCTTGAAAAACAAAACCCTCAGATTATTCTCCTCTGCAGAATAATACTTCACCCGAAAGACCCCTGTTTTGGGAGGCAATACAGTTAGTTTGTATTGGGTTTTTAAAGCAATACTTTTTTTTTTTTTTTCTTAAATGTATTTGGTACAGGGTCTCACTACACAGTTGGGACTTGTAGTGATCCTCCTGTTTTCAGCCTCTCCAGTGCTGGGATTATAGGCATGCGCCACCATGCCTGGTCTCAAAGGTGGCCAATTCATTTTGAGGGTAGGGTACAGGCCCATGGGGGATGCCGTACAGGGATGAACAATGGTTCCTGCACTTGTTTAAGCTGGTGCTTAGTCCAGTGAGCTATCTCACCGGGCCGAATCAATAATCTTTTAAAGATTTATATTCTGTCACTTATATTATTGACACATTTAAATGCAAAATTATAAATACACTTTTCAAAATACATGTATACTATTCAGAAAGTATGGCCCCCAGGATGATAAGACCGAACTCAATAAAAAATGTTTACTGTACGGAAACCATGTTCACTAAGGTAAAATTAATCTTGTGGTAAAATAAACCAATACATTAAATGTGTGGAAGTTGCCTACATATATAACTATAAACTTTAAAATAATCACATTAAATAAGTGACCAGTTCTGGAAGCAAACTATGAAAAACTGGAAACTTACTGCTGAAAACAAACTTATCGAATGAAAAAGGACAATTTGGGGCCGAAACCTGACAAGTTGGAACACATTACCAGGATTTCCAGCTTCTAGTTCTGACATGGTCTCAGGACTTGTCAGGTCTTTAGGAAACAGGCGTTTCACAGTCCTGTATCCTCTTCCATCCTGCCACCTATAACCATCCTCAGTTTCTTGAAAGGAGTCTTTTCTTGGTCTGCTTGTGATGGGAATTCTAGGTCCAGGTTTGAATTCCTTCCAGTTGTCTGAATTACCAGTAAGTTCATCGGACAGCCATCTCTTACTCTGATCTTTGTGGTTGTCATTCATCCAAATGGGCTGACTGTAAATTGGGTTTTTAAATGCATATGGATTGCTAGAAACAGGATAAGGTCCTTTTCTGGGTGTATTGCCATAGTTCCCAGGTGCTATCCTTTTTTTTGGCAGGCTTTTTTCCATTTTACTGCTATGGCCCTTAACATAATCATCCATTACTAAATAATCTTGTTGGAGGTGACCCCTTCTGAAATCATCATCATCAACAGTTCCTCGGCCTTTAGTGCCCTTCACAATATAAGGTTTTGTTGCATCTCCCATGGTCTTTGACTTCAATTTTCTTACTTTGCACCTGGAAGGCATTGGAGAAACAACAGACTATAACAAAAAGTCATATTAAGCAAACAAAATACTGTAGACATTTATCACATTGATGCCCAGGAGCCTATACGAAACTTTTTCTATTGATTCTGTTATTTTGCCAATAACTCGCTGATTATCCTAGAATTTAGGGGATTTGGTGCTGCAATATTTGTAAAAATACTATTTGGGGTGAGGATGAATCTGTGAATAAGAGAAACTCCTCCAGTCTCCAAAACTGTAGTAAAATGTTACACCAAGTTGGTTAGCCTTTACCTGTGTAAAAAAAGCTCCTCTATTCAGAGAAAACCCCATTCGCAGCCAATACTGTCACAAAACTCTCCAAACGATGATCTTTCTCAAAACTTGCAGGTAAGTGTTATAAAAGTAACCGAAACTCAAGCAGTGTTTTCTCTCAATTTCGCGACTCGCGGCACTTCTGCGCCCCTTTTCGGAACAGAATGGCTCCGGTCTCGGGCTGCGGAGGGGCTGGGTTCGGACCACGGTCGGTCCGATTCAAACCAAAGAAATGGGTTTGCGACCAGAGGACCAGCCAGCATTCCCAGTTCTCACTCCCCAACCCACAAGTTCGGTTTCACCACAAGCAGCAACTCTCCCACTTCTCTGGGGGTACAGTGGCCGCCCCACCCCCTGACCTGCCTCAGTTTCCACTTTGGGCTGTCCGAGGCGGAGGAGGAGTCTCCACTCTCCAGACAGCGAAGCCACCGCAAGGCTCGGAAGCAGGAAGTGACCCGCCAGCCCGCTAGGGTGCTGAGGTCCCCTGGCGACCCGGGACCAAAAGCCTCGACCCAGACCTCTCCTCCGGCCGGCAGAGTCTGACAGAGTGAAGATGCGGACTTGAACCTGGCTGCTAGGTCTCCACCAGCCTGGAGGTTCCCGGTCAGCGAAACCCAGGCGAGAAGGCCGGCAGACCAGGGGGCCAACGTACCTCCGGCCCGCCCCGACTTCTACTCCAGAGACCGGGCCCACCCGACACCCTGCCCGGGGGCGAGCCCGGAAGGACGCGGCGAGAAGGCACCCAGCACTTACCGCCTCAGCCCCGGTCCCCCTGCCTCTTCCTGTCCCGGCCGGCTCCCTCTCCGTGTTTTCCTTCGGCCCCACTTCCGGCGCCCAGCGCTAGCTCATTGTGCGCTATTGGGAGCCAGCGGTGCCCCCGCCCCGGCGCTCCGCTGCGCACGCCGGAAACGCGCGCCGCGCCTGGAGGGCCGCCCCAACGCCGTTCCCGCCAGAGACCCCGCCCCCGTCTCCGCCCCGGGCGCCGACGCCCCGCCCCCTAGCCCCCTGCAATAGCCTGCCAGTCCTGCGGCCCCGCCCCTACAAGGCCACATGGCCTACAAGCCCCTCCTCTTTCGCCGCCTGGCCTCGCCCGGGGTGGACGTCGGTTGTGCGCTCAGTGACTCCAGTGGCTGCTGGCTCTAAGAGCTCAGCCTTCCCTTGCTTCCTCCGATCTTCCCCAGCTACCCCTTCGTCTGCTCTAGGGGAAACTGAGGCAGGTTCCTGATAATTCCGAGTGAGCTCGCGATTTCGTGAGGTCTTAGTTGTGGACCTCGTGGAAAGGCTGCCCACTGTCCACCCAAGTACAGTCAAAGGAAGTCCACTTTTTAGATCGTGAAACGGTTATTTTTGGGGGGCTGTTTTTGAGACAAGGTCCTCCAGTGTAGTAATCCACGCCTGATGTTTGTGTACACTTCTGATCTTGTAGCATTAGACCTGTGTAAGAGTACTAACAGACCCAGCCACGCTTGGTGCACGCCTGCAATCCCAGCACTGGGAGGCTGAGGCAGGAGGATCGCTAAGAGCTCAGGGCCAGCCTGGGTAACATATTGAGTTCAAGGCCAGTTTGGACTACAATAGGGAGACCTTGTCGTAAAAAAAGTAAAAGAAAAGAAAACACATTCTCTGTGCTTTTCTAGAGCGTGCCGATTTAAATCCATGAGGTTCTTTGGGGCAACTACCTTAAAATGAAATATATTAAGTACTGGCTAGTGCCTTGTACTGTTTAGAGAACTTTGCAAATGTTTGCACAGCTAATCCTCACAACCATAGGAAGAAAATACCATTGTACCCCATTTGAAGATGAGGGAAATGTAGCACTGAAGGGCCGAGTTAAAGGCACAACTGGAATTAAAACCCTGACCACGAGGAAAAGTCTGTTCTTGTTATACCAGAGTGATATGAAACAGCGTTGGTGTAATTTTTAATTTCAATGTTTTGGTCCTGCAAATTGTGAGACTCAGACTACCTGCTTGACAGGCAGGCCTTCGCCTCAAAGCACAGAGGGAGTGTGGGAGTGATGCTTGATCTGCTTTGTTCAGGCCGCAGCAGCGTCCCCGCGCCCAGTGACTCATTCCTGTGCAGAACTGGGTTAGGTAGGCTGGCTTGATTTTCAAGAGTGTAGAGGAACATCGTTTTAAGGATGTAATACACTTTCTCTTTGTTTTTTGGACACATTTTCCAAAGTCTTAACTTCTCATATTTTAAATTGCTTTGAAGATTCATCTTGAGGCTATAGTATTAATTAAAAGACGCTGACAGCAAAATATATCTCTATCCCCAGCACGCTGTCGTGGAAATTTAAATTCATTATGGACATCCTTAATTTACAGTTCAATTAAAAAGTTGGCTTTGAATATTCTTTGGATCTCATTCCTCGGAATGTGTGTGTGGATTGCCCCTAGAAGTACACATATTTTCAGAACTTAGAGCAGAACTGTTTTAAGGCGGAGGTTACTGTCTGTTTGGGAGACAGCTATGTCATTATACATTGTTCTGAAGACATTAATACTGTTGCATGTGTTACAATGTGTTTTCTGTATTGAAATGAAAATTTAATATTGTACTTTATTGTGACAATTCAACCTTCAGCAGACTGTAGGGTCATGGTCCCAGAAGGGCAGGGATTAGAGTCAGAGCTTCTCCCACTTTTCCTCCAGCTACTTTTCCTGTAAATATATCCAGGAAGAGTAAATGTAATATTGTGTGGCCAGAGTCCAGTGACTTCTAATCCCTTTTGCCCTTCTTCTGCCTTCTTGTTGGTACATGGCTTAGCTGGGTTGCTTCATCCACTGGCTCCCACCTTTGTCCTCCTCCACTCTGCTGTTTTTTTGTGTGTTTAGGTTCTCACTATGCAGCTCAGATTCGTAATGATCCTCCTGATTTCTGCCTCCCTAATGCTGGGATTATAGGCGTGCACCACCACGCCTGGACTCCATCGCCAGCTCAGCGCACCCAGGGGCAGGGCCGGTATGGCATCTGGTGTAAGGAATCGAACTCTGGCCCCTGCACTTACCTAAGCAAATGCTTAGCCCACTAAGCTATACCTCCGGCTCTTGTTTTGCTTTTTTTTTTTTTTTTTTTTGTGGCACTGGAAGCTGAAGGCAGGGCTACATCCCTAACCCTTCTTTATTTTGAGATAGAGTCTTGCTAAATTGCTAAATTGCCCAAGCTGAGCTCAATCTTAGGATGATTTTGCCTCAGTTCTAGGATTATAGGTGTGCACATCATGCCTGGCTTGTTCTCATTTTTATCAATGTGCACTAATATTCTTGCGAAGTTCTAATGTTACAGCAGGATAGAAAATGAGCTCAAACGCAGGATCCCAGCACTCTGGGAGGCAGAGGTCAGAGGACTGCAAATGTGAGCCTAGCCTGGGCAGTTTTGCAACTTAGTGAGGCCCTGTATCTAAATAAAAAATGGGCTGGGAGTGTAGCTCAATGTAAAGGCCCTGAGTTCAGAGTCCAGGACCACAAAACAAAACAAAAAACCAAAACCAATATACCAGTCAGAGTTTTACTAGAGGAACGGATATAACACAAGATGTACAAATGTATAAGAAGTCACAAGATTGGCTTACAACAGTCAACTACAGAGTCGGGTGAGGAAGAGAGCAGGAGGTGTCTGCACACTGGAGACAAAGATTCAGTCCAAGATCTGGAGCTCACTGTGGTGTTCCGTGTAAGTCCGTATCACGAGGCTGAGGGATCTGAGACAGGAGGCTGATGAGTCTACGCCAGAAGGCTGAAGGATCCAAGGCAGAAGCTGAAGCATCTGCACTAGGATCTAGGAGACCACATCCATGCTGAAGGTGAAGACTGGAGCGCCTGCAAAGAAAATGGAACCCTCTGTCCTTTTTCATTTCTCTTCGTATATCCTTATTATGGTTTGTGTGTATTTGTCCCTCCAAGCCTCATGCAGTCATTGAGGCACAGTTCTACAGTTTGTGATTAATTCATGATCCAAGGCTGGGATTATGGATCTGAGTACTGCTGGGATTTTGGTTCTGAGTACTATTGGGATTATGGGTGTGAGCGCTATACCCAGCCTGGTGCAGATAGCCTGAATGTAACATAAGAGAGACAGACAGACTTGCTTTCTGCACCCATTCTTGCTGTTACTCCTCCCTTTGGCTCTTGCTGTTTTGCTGCTTTCCTCTGCCATGAACTGCTGCTCTCTGCTATGTGCTCATCTGACTTGGGGCCAGCTGAGTATGGACTGAAACCTCCAGTAACTGTGAGCTAAATAAACCTTTCCTTCCTTCATTTTGAGTATTGGGTATTTGTCCCAGCAATGAGAGAAGAGTAACTGAGATAATCCTTTAGGTAATGAGCCACCCTCGGGTGGGGCCTCTACACTGCAGGGTATGAAACTTCTCAAGTTGACACAGTCCATTAACCTCTGCAGCCAACAAAACAAAAAACCCAGAAGCTTTAAAATGATCTATTCCTCTCTCCCTCTGTGCCTTAAGTGCCATCTTCGCCATGCAGCAGTGGCAGCCATGCTTCCTGACACTGAATCCCCTCAGCAGGGAGGTGGACGTGAAGCTCCAGAAGTCAGGGAGAATATTTTTTCTCCGGTACCAAGGACTGAACCCAGGGCTTTCATATTGAACTACATCCCCAAGTCCTTTTTGATTTAATTTTTGTTTTGAGATGGGATCTTGCTAAGTCATTAAAAGGCTAGGCTCAGTTTAAATTTGCTATCCTGTAGTTCAATAAGAAAACAATCCAGGATTTCAGAGTTCAGGAATATAGGCTGAGTGACCATATCTGCTCAGAGAGAAATTTTCAAGAAACACTTGCAAACTTCATTGCCATTTCCTCCCCTCAGTACTGTGGATCCGACTCAGGGCCATGCATTTTAACATCCTTTTTTTTTTTTGGTGGAACCAGGGATTGAACTCAGGCCTTTGCGCTTGCCAGGGAAGCGCTTATTTCACTGAACCATCTCCCCGACCCTTTAAACATCCTTAAATGGATTAAAAGCTTCTTCTTAAATCAAAGTGAAGAGGACCCTTAAGTCAGGGTTTTATCCCTCAGGACTACTGTTTTTTATTCTGGGCAGTTCTTTGTTGTATGAGTTCCATGAATGGAAAGGTGTTTAGCAGTAGTTGTGGGCTCTGTCCTAGATATACCCACTGTCATTTATGACAAAAATAGCTCCAGGCATTGGCAAATGTTCCATTCCCCAGTTGTGAATAACCACCTTACACTAGTTGGCCTACCTTGGAGACGGGGTAGATTTAGCTTTGCAAGGCTGGGAAAGGAATGGTCCCTTTCCTATTCATTAAGGGTCATGGCCAACATTCTTATAACAAAGACAAGTTAACAAGAGAGAAGGATAGTAAATTAATTATCATGGATATATACATGGGAACCATCAAAATATAGAACCTCAAAGAAAGGGCCAGATGTCTGACACTTAAATATACTTTTCACAGGGGAGAGATAAGGGTCAGTGGGTTGGCAAGGATGGAAAATGATGGGAAGTTTGGGTCCAAACTTCACTATGAACAAGGAAATTTGTTATGCAGATAAAGTCTCCACTCATGCCTCAGAGCTACCCTGGGAAGGGTAAATGAAAAGCCTGTCTGTGTATAGTGACAAATTTCGGTCATCTATTTTCAGATGGTTAATTGTTCCTGTTTTTAAAATATATGTATATATATAGTATCCTCAGTTCTACAGAGAGACTTCAAGATTATTTTTCCTCTTCCTCTTTTTTGTGGTGCTGTGGTTAACCTCAGGGTGTTTAGCTTGCCAAGAACCTATTCTCCTACTGAGCTGTACCCTAGGCCAACAATTGCATTTGAGCAGAGGTCCAAGATAAATGGGTTCTCAAACTTGTGAAGAAATGGACATAGTAGATCTTACCA